TTCCATTACATCTGGTTAAAATCACCCGTAGCTACCTCCAGCAAAGGTCGTTTAAGGTATCGTTGAATGGTTGTCTTTCAGACACGTTTTCCATCCCTGCAGGAGTCCCGCAAGGCAGTCTGCTGGGCCCCTTGCTCTACAGCATTTACACTTCCGACATTCCTCCCCTTGGAGACGGTTGCGTGTTTTTCCTGTTCGCAGATGATACCGCAATAGCCGTCAAAGGAAGGATGCCTCGCGAAATAACGAACAAACTTCAACGATGCCTTAACGCCTTTGCTGATTATGCCACCACGTGGAAAATCAAAATCAATGCTTCCAAAACACAAACAATCATGTTCCTCCATCGACAATCACCCAAACTAAAACCGGCTCCCTCTTGTACTGTAATCATGGATGGCACAAGGGTTGAGTGGTCCGCCGAAGTAACCTATCTCGGGATGTTGTTTGACGAAAAGCTTCTATTCCGCTCGCATGTGGAGAAAACCGTAGTCAAGTGTTCCGCCTTGGTTAGGTGTCTGTATCCGCTGATTTGCCGCAGATCCCGCCTCTCAAGGGTGAACAAACTGGCCGTCTACAAACAAATCGTAGCACCTGCGATCCTCTACGCAGCTCCGGTGTGGGAATCATGTGCACAGACTCACAGGAACAAAATTCAGGTCGCTCAGAATAGAGTGCTGAGGATGGTTCTTGATCGTCCTTTTGACACTAGAATAACAAATTTACACGAAGAGGCAGGCATTGCCAAAATAGATTCCAAAATTAACGAAATTAAGACTAAATTTACACAAAAATGTAATTTATCAGAACATGCTTTGATAAGCAATTTGTATATAGTAGGTTAGGTGTACATAGTAGTTGTAGGTTAGTTGTAGTTGTAAATAGTAGTTATAAGTAGTCTCCCTTTTCCAATTCAAATCAAACCAATCCCACCAAGGTGGTCATACTTTAAAATAGGCCTGATAGGACTAGGAACTGTAAATAATAATTAAAATCTCAAATGTACCAAAGTTGAAAAGACGCATCTGTGTCACTTAACAAATTCATACATGTAAACCACACAATCACAAGAAATAAAGATCATTTAAATGGCAAATGGCACAGGCTATCTTTGATAATGCGGGTAGCGTTGATAGTAGAATCAAATGATTTAATTTAATCTCTGCCCTTTTTCCAAATTGGAAACATTGGTTCCATATTGTAGCTTAGGATATATCCTTTGACATCGTATATAGTTTTTTTTAAATAGTATGTGTTACATGTTTTCCAAACATATTAAAAAACAATTTTCTGTCTGAAAAAGCACTCAAACCATCACTTATGAAATGTATTTCCGATATATCCATCACAAATTTAATGATGTGTTCTTATTGCGTATTACGTTTTCTGGTTGTATACTCATTCAAAGTGTCATATTTGTTAAACTTAATTGTTTAAGTTGTCGTGTTTTTCTACCTTCATCGAGCATTATCAAAGTAACCCCAAATCAAAATACTGATGTTCGGTCACAAGACTTAAAAAATGTGCAAATGCAATAATTTCCGTTAAACATATTACTAATTTACTCTAGCATCCTTAGTACCTGTTTAAAAAAATTAATTTGAAAAGCATTCTTTGATGTAGAAAATATTTAGAATATACTTCAATATACCATCAATGTTAACCCTGTTTTACGATACATTTCAATTAGAGCCAATTTCTTCCGATGAAGGCAAGAATGACAACTGTATCAAAGCCGAATACTTTATCATTTCTCAATAGTGATGGAGTAATACGACATGCACTAAACTAAGGACATGGGATATACTACAATAGATCAAATTAATGGTCGCAGTGAAAAAGGCATGAATGGATCATATTGTCAATATATGGTGTATTTTTTTCTTTTAAAATAGATAATTTTCCAAAAGTCTATAATTTTATATCTCAATCGTAGAACAAATAATTAGAATTTATTTGCATAATTTTCAACGCTGCAAAAGAATAAACTTATACATTTTTTATGAATTTCATCACATTTCTGGTAGCAAAATTTTGAATCATGGCATTATTCCATTGATATTTGGCCTAATTTTATTATAATAAATTATTAATGAATGCTGTTTTTTTTTTGTTGGAGATAAATGTTGCTTTATTTCCATTGATTAATTTGTTTTGCCTTTGTTTCGTTATTGATTGTTTTAAGCTTTTCCTTTCGGTATTGAATTTGGTCTAATTCAGTTAAGATCGGGAACCTCAGTTAACTTTAAAGCAGTGTTCCTAATGGTCGGTTCTAGAATTTCATCCCGATTTGTGAAGTTTTCGAAAAGTTTTACCTGGTGGAAGAGAAGAGAATAAATTTTATTTTATCAACATTTGAAACTCTCGACCATTGGGCTTACTTCTCTTCCGAAGGAAGGCGTGATCAGAGATATTATGCCTCAGAGATGTTATCCCGGCGGCGCCGACTGAGATTGAACCCAGGCCTGCTGGGTGAGAGGTAATCACGCTTACCACTACACCATCGGCGCCGCTATGCTATCATGATTGACATCAAAAACCCGAAGCCTACTCAGCATTTTTCTTGCATCAAACAAATCCCGAGATAGCGCTAATTTCTTACTTCCGGATTCTAACCGAAGCATACTTTATGCTAAAATTGATATTTTGATGAAAATGTAATTAAAATTGGTCAAGTGTTCAGTTTACTCACTGTGTTTAATAGGGTGGCCCAAAATAACACTTTACCTGGGGCTCATCCTCCAAATGATAGCTAGGGGTGTTACAAAAAAACTTTTACGTAGCGGCAACTCATAAAAACGCGATGAGATTTTTGAAAAAAGTCAAATTTTCATAGTCATTTCTGAAAACATATTTCTAATGCATCGATATTTAATGTAAGCCACCCATTTTTATATTTTTAGACATTCGTTAGGGTTTATACTACATGAACACAAATTTGAACAGCCCGCTAGATGCTTGATTTATTCAAATGTACCAACGGAGTCAACAATCAAGCATTTCGTCGTAGCTCAAATCAATGTGATGAATATAGAGGTTAGGATAACTGCAACAGACTACTCATTCTAGCATCCAGCATTACAATGCAAGTGTGAAAGAGTAAGCAGTGTTGTTCTGTCATATCTCCATCATTTTTACCGCTGTCAGTTTGCCCAAAAGTGTCAGACTGTCCAAAAATGACAAAATCATGTGAACTATGGTGCATCTATATGTGGTTGACAGGGATAGAGTCCCCTGAATGTATCTTTTTGCATTGCAAACTGGACGCACTTGATTCCCATGTTATAGTGACACTCCCTGAAACAGTTGATCTGATTTTCTATCAGCGATGTATCAGATGATCAGAAATGTTATGTATCAGAACATCCCGGCGGCGCCGACTGGGATTGAACTCAGGCCTGCTGGGGTGAGAGGCAATCATGCTACCACTACACCACCGACGCCGCTCAAACTGTTGATCTTTTGTTCAGTATGATTTGAAGTTGTAAGCTCAGTGAGAGGATACTTGATCCCCCAAGGATTGGACACGCTTAAACCTGGGATATGAGTGAAAATTAAAATTCAAATACATTCAATAAAAAGAGGATCAAGTATCCCATAATTTTTAAAACTATGTTTCTGAGCAAATTACAGAAACCGTACTTTTAGGCATGTATGGGCATGTATGGGCATGTATGTCGAAGGCTCGAGAGTATTTGGAAAATTTTGTATGAAAGATTCCTGATTCCACTTTCCATTACAAAAATGCATGTCATCAAAAGGGAATCAAGTCTCCCCTAATTTTCCAAAATGAATGTTTGAAAAAAAAACGAACTTTTAAGAGTGTCATTCATAAAATGATATAAGATATTTCCATGTGAGCCTGTGCGAAAACCGCATCAAATTTTGATTTTTCCGCTTAGATGTATCCAAAATAAACACAGGCAATCAAGTGTGTCCACTCTCCCCTATGCTATCAACATTTTTGACGAGATCAATGTTATCTTTCAAAATACATCCGAGTATATTTGGTCATAACAGTGTTCCTTCGAATTGGATTGCTCAAAACTAAAGGTAAATTTAAGGTACACATTGTGTTTAGCTCTATTTGACATTCATATTTTTCTAGCTTTAATCTACCTCCCAACGCAAATATAGCAACAGAAAACACGGAAATGAGCTGAATATTTCTGAGCCTTTTTTGTCAATCAAGTTAAGCAAATCCTTTATTGCATCCAACTCGAGTAAAGACAAAATGCCTAGATGAGATAAGCTGTATTATGAAACAAACTAGAGTGCAAACTTAAGTACTTCAACTAGGGAGGTTAATGTAAATTTTAAAAGCAAACCTTGAGAAATAAACATTTACAGCATACCTAAGATATTGCGTCCCGTACCTTGCCAAAACTAACGACTCCAAGTTTAATAGACTCGTTGCATGCGCTGATGACAAGCATAGCCTCTAACCTGAGCAATAAAATAGTTCTGTATTTTTCTGTTAGTAGTATCGTGCGACAACAGTTAATGCCACTCAGATTCTTTCAGAGCCTCGTCTTGCGAAGGACACTAGCGGTAGTAACCTAATGTTGGAGTGGTACGTTTTAAGCTACAGCCGATCACAGAATGATCGTTGCTGTCGACACACATAAAAACGAGTTTCTGTTCAAATGATTTTCTATTCTAACACATGTGTTCTGCTCATACCTGCGTTGACTATTCTGAAATGACTTGCACATAGTACCTACTTATTTGCGTAGGGTTATTTTCACTGCCATACGAATGAGTTGTTATTAATCAACTTTCGACGTTGCATAAAACAAATACAATCATAATGTCTAGTCACTAAGAATCGGATGAACCGAGTAAGAAAAATGTAAAATCACCATGGTTCAATTACAACCTATACGAATCTTATTGTTTTGACTCAGCATTGCATAGAACATTATTAATCGAGTTGAGCAAATTGTTAACATTAGATTATGATTAACGTAAACTCTCTATGATTATTTTTAATTTTGCAGATGGATGTCGACATCAACGACGGAAAGGACCGCATCGGACCACTGTTCCGAGATCGCCATGTATTGATCACTGGTGGAACTGGATTTATGGGAAAAGCACTCGTTGAAAAGCTGCTAAGGTAGACATCAATAACGGAAATTATTATATATGCCGATCAAAGATACATCGTTCATTTACAGAAACACAGAAATAGCCAAAATTTATCTACTAGTACGTACCAAGAAAGGAAAGTCACCAAAGCAGCGTTTAGAAGACGTTTTTTCTAATCCGGTAAGTGTATTTCATAAGCGTTGATTAATTAAATTATTTACTTAAGTAAGTAACAGCCGCATCATAAAAAAACAGAAACAACCCAAACCATGACCTGCTGTGGGTTTGTCTCGCAAAAGCAGGACAAGGTCAAAAACGCGCCGCAGCATAATGAAATCTACAGTACCTACTCCATGCTAAACACAAATAGCGATGAACCATCCGAGTAACCTTGAATTGCACAAGAAATGAAGAGAAAAAGCAAACTCAATCGATGGATGAAGTAACCATGGTGCTGTAAATGTCTGCCTCTACCATGTGCGCTGATCACACCGATCGAGCGTGCTAAAAGGCGGTGCATACAAGTGCAAAGATCTCTCGCAGCACGATCTGCCTAGCAGTGCCAGTGTCTTGCATAGCGTGGAAAACACAAACATGTAATCTCAGTTTATATAGGTTGCAAAGTTTCACATTTTATTTGTCCTGAAAACTTTCAATTTAAGCTTTAAAACAACCCTGAGGAATTCATCGGTAACATATAAATTTCTTGTTTAAAATGAATATATCAAGAATATTGATATGTGATTCATGGCAGTGGTAGGCAAATGTGGTCCATATAATTGTCCAAAAGCGTCATTGTCAAATTGAAATTGTTTTTGTTTTTCAAAGTTGAACTTTGAGGCTCTCTGAAAAAATAATACCATAACATAAACTAGATGACTTTCCATCAAAAGTTTTGTGAAAGCGTCTTCTATCATGAAAAAATATTTAATTATAATTAAGACCGCAGAAACTTACATTTTTATTAGGATACAATTATGGTATGTATCATTTCATTTTCCCCCATACAGTGGGGTAAGTTGAAACAAATATATTACAGCAGTTTTATGATGAAAAAGTTCATATGTGTTCTCCTCAAATATGCATGGTCTGGTATTAAATAACATTACGTGAACTTTATCAACTAGGTAATTCTCGCGTCACTTTTCAAATAGACTAATCCACATTGGTTGATTCTCTTCATCGACACTCTCTTTCGTTAGCTCGGCTCCAAAAACATGTTCAGCTGTCAATATGCTTAATAATACTTTCTTTTAACAGAATATGTAGAAACATTAGCCCGAAATATCAACGAAAGAGAGAATCTATTAAGAGAATCGATCAATGTACATTGGACCAATTGAAAAGTGATACCAAAATTGCCAAGATTTGGAAGAAGGAGATACTTACTACTGGAGGAGTGGATGGAAGATGTCGTATGCCCAATAGACTGATGCAAAATTTGATATTTTCGCTCCACAGTGCTTAAATGGTTTCAAATCGGGTCCTGATTAGCCTACCAAAGTTACAACTCATTTGGTTAGAAACAGACTTCGCACAAGCCATTTGAAGTTTACATGTAAATTAACATGTAAACATCTATGGGAAATCTCAACTTTTTGTTCATTGCCTTGTAGTCTTTTTCCATATTGAGCTACGAAGCAGTTCGATAACCATTATTATAGAAAAGTTTCTCAGCTACAACTTTGCTCAAGATCGTTTCTATGTAAAACGAGACAGGAAAAAGTTATTAATTATTTAAGAGATTGATAAACTTATGACATGATCAAGCGGCTGCTCTGTAAGCAACACTGACATGACATAGTAGCCATGATTTTTGTGTCCTATTCAACGCCCCAGAAACACCAATGTTGCCTGCTGAGCAGTTGATTGAGCATGATCATAAGACATCAGCGCATTGAACCATTGACAACTTTTGATCCTTGCATTTAATCAAAAAGTGGTCTTCAGCAAAGTTGTAGCTGGTAAAATTTCTTACAAGCACAGCTTGAAGCTTTTGAAGCAGACCGATATGGTGAATTATTAGATAGACATGAACAAAAATCTTGGTTTTACCATAGTAATTCCCATACAAACTTCAAATGGTTTGTGCCATCTCAGTTTCTCACCAAATAGGTTCAAATTTTGAGAGGTTAGTCAGGATCCGATTTTGAATCGTTTAAGTATTGTGGAGCGAAAATTTCAAATTTTGCATCACTCCAATGCCCAATTTATTAAAAGGGCGACGAATTGGATTTCTGCAACTACCGCGCGATCACATTGCTGAGCGCCGCCTACAAAGTACCCTCCCAAGTTATATGCCAACGCCAATCAACATTTGCAAAGGAGTTCGTTGGGCAATACCAACGCATCATTTGTTCATCGATCGATTTCAAATCAGCATACATTATGCATTAGCATAGATTATGCACGAATGTGGATTTCCGGATAAGATGGCGCGACTGACCAAGGCAACGATGGATAGAGTTGTGTGCGTTGTTTAAGTAGCGGGATCACTCTCGAGTCACTTTGAATCTCGAAGGGGGCTACGGCAAGGTGATAGACTTTCGTGTTTGCTATTTAATATCGCGTTGAAAGGTGTGATAAGAAGAGCGATAGGATGTACAGAAAGTCCATCCAGCTTCTTGACTTCGCAGATTACATCGGTATCATAGCACGAAACTTAGAAACGATAACGAAAACGTGCATCAGACTGAAGTCAGGTACATCGATGACGAAATACATGAGAGGAAGAGGTTCTAGGAAAGACAATGTTAGACTTCCAACGCAAGTTCAGATTGACGGTAACGAAATTGAAGTGTTCAACGATTTCGTGTATTTGGGCTCACTGGTGACCGCCAAAAATGATACCAGCAAAGAAATTCAAAGATGTATTATAGCAAGGAATCGTGCCTACTTTGAACTCCCGAGGACGCTCCGAATCGAATCCGAAACAACATGCGTACATTGTAGCAGAATAGTACAAATGCACACGAATATATTGTAGAAAAATAAAATCATCTCTCGAAAACATTTCGAATAATACGAATTATTCGTTTGAAAAATATCTATTGATTGAAAATAGTACGAAAAATTCGTAAATCTTTAAACCAACATGCGTATATGGTACGAAAAATATACAGGGGCACAAACATTTCGTAGAAAAATAAAATCGTCTTTCTGACTATCCTTAGATGCACGAAAACATTTTGTACGGTCTCGCGTTTAAAAATTCATACCTCAAAAGAATTCATGAGCCTTCAGCGCGTTTAATGAGATTTGCCACGTTTATCACAATGGTCCTTAGGAACAATTCTACTTCGAAGGTAACCAGTCTTCATTAACATCAACTACCGGTCAAACCATCTTCATACCCATCAACATTCTCATCAGCATCTGCTATAAACAAAACAACAAAAACAGCAGCAACAAAACTATGAATGGGCTGCTAAGAAGCAGCAAAATGCAGCTGGTAGGCCTATTACAAATATAAATCATCTCTTGAATCCAGTTGACAGATAGCGAATCATTTCAGTACCGGTCGATACACACTCTCTGGCGTTGATGTTATTGGCTTTTAACTTGCAGTTTGCCTAGTTATGTAGGTTCCAGTCGGCCAATTTTTCGGCTGTTGTTCTGCTGATGAGCTGCGCTGAGGCTGAACCGGCGGCTGCAAATCACGTTTTCATCCCAACCAATACTCAACCTCTCCCATCGGTGCTGCTTTTCGCTGCTATTATCTGGAGCTGTATTTTCAGTCAGCTAACTTTTCCACTGACGCTGCTGCAGCTATTATGTTCCGCTGATAATGAACACCGCCAATGGTTTACAACTGTCGAAATGTGAATCGAACTCTTATGAACGAATTGTTTTGTAGTGTTGCTGTGTGTTATATGAAATATTAGAATTTATCGGATAGAGCTTCCCAACATTTAATGTTAACTGCAGAACAGCTTAAACATCTTATTGGTTAGCGCATATTAGCTTATTGCGTGCTATCAACATAGTGTTCTACTAAATGCACTTCCACAGTTATTAATTGAGAGCTTTCGATGCCAATACCAATGCATGAACATTAGGATATTGTGTGGCAAGCACAATGAAACTCTATGCCGAAGGAAGTCGAGAAAATTGCCAACCCTAAAGATTCCCTCGACCAGACCGGGAATCGAACCTACCGCCTCCGGCTTGGTAATACCGTGCCTTTACTTACTAGGCTATGAGGCCCCTCAACAGCTTATACATACTGGCCAATAATACCTTATACCTAAATTGTTTGATAGGCTAGTATCTTCATGAAAAAAAGAATCTCTAGTTGGGATAACTAACGCTTCCTTTTCTTTTGTAAAAAAGTAGGTTCTATTGTTTTTAATATTGTAGATTTTTTAAAAGGGAACTCATCGCTATTACCCGACTGACCTTGAACAAATTGAATTGAGTTTATGTATTGAGAATGTGATGCTCAAAATTTCTACTTGCCCCTCTGTACTCGTTTCGATTTACCCCATGGGGTTTACAAATGAGGGGCCAGTTTAAATGCTTTAAATGTTGCGGAAAAACTCATCTAAGACCGGGTTTTTCTACATCATTACTCTAACTAGCCACCAAATACTTCCTTAGTGCATAAAACTGGCTAGAAATTAGATAATTCTACTTTTTGGAAACATTAAAGCACTGCGAGAAAAATATTTGTTATAAATTTCATAACATTGTCGTCGTTGTTGGTGCCGGTGCCGGGTTTGAATGGTTACAACAAATCGGGTAACGGTATGATCTGATATGAGGGGCTTGGTGGGCTTAGCGTGACTGCTTACTGAGCAGAACATCATGAGTCAATCGTTTTATTTGTTAATATGACTACATGGTAATAACAGCAACACGATAATTAAAAATTCAGCTTATCTTTTACCAAAACGAACCCTGTTGCAAACCCAACCCTCTTACCCAACATCCCAGAGATTCCTCGTGGAAGTGCAGAGGACTCCTCAGCTTCCATCAAACCTAGTGTCTCGTCAACACATTTCTACCCATTCCTTTCTTGACCTGCGTTCGGGCGGGGCCGGCGCTGGTATTGCCTAGTTTGAGATCATCTGTTTTTATACATTGAGGATGAATTCTAGTCCCAAGCATCGTCTATTGGTTCTCTGTGTATAATTACAGCTGTTATGACAATAACAGAATAGCAACCGTGGGTGGTCAAT